TATGCCAGGGAATTCCAGCTACAGGTCACTCTGCTAGCATGCAGCCTCTAGCCTGAAAACGTCTGTGTCAGCATGATTTCCAATGGAAACACATTACAATGGCCAGCCGTGTGCACAAGTATCCCTGTGGAGTGGGAAGTGCCACTAAAATCACAAAGACCCAGAAACAACGAGGCCAGCAGGCACAAGAACTGTAGACCCCTTCTCAGCACATACCCACGCACACACAATAGGGCGACATTTTAGTACTTCTAATTTACAGCTCTGACTAGAGATTCATTTATCAGGAGAGGGAAAAGGGACAGATCTCTTGCCAACCTGGGGCACTGGAAATAAAATAACAAAACTCTACAAAAAGCCCAAATCAGAACTGCTTTGCAAATACAATACGAGGAGCTGAGCACCCTGCTTCTCAGTTTTCTTAAATGATCTTTTCATGTTCTGCGGAAATTACAGACATAGCTCTTCTCAAAAAATGTGTAATTTGGATGGAGGAAAGCCCAGAGTTGGCATAAAATTCATCTCTACCCGTTGTTTTTCAGATGTTTCTGAAACAAAATAGAGCAGAAGTGATCTCACACCTCTGAGAAACAGCTATTTCCAAGAGGGGGCAAAGAAAGAGGGGACACCTGCAAATCTTGCAGAGACGAAAGAGATGCTTCCGCCTAGCTCTTGGGCAGTTCCACATGGGGAACTCAAAACATCTTCCTTTTTTTGTGCCCAAAAGCCCTTTGCCTGGAGCCAGACACAGCAACTCAAGCATATGGATCTGGGCAGACCAGAAGGCAGTGGTGAGAAGGCACAGTGGGCAGGTGCTCTACTATGTTGGCTGTTAGAACCCAGCTTCTGATGTAAGGGTGGCTAGGGGCCCGAGGTACCTGCGGCCATATCTCCCATGAGCCTCCTTCTTCTAAGCTTCTGCCAGGGGTGGAGTGAATGGGGTCTGGCCATCTGCCTCACCAGACAGCATGAGCACCCTCTCTCCAACCCATACTTCCAAGAGAAATGTGGTCCTTGGGGCCTCAGAGGGTGCATCAGGTGACCTTGGCCTTGGAGGCCCAGTTCCGGAGCAGCTGGCTGTGTGGACACTGAGGCCCCCTGCTGTTGTTTCTGTTGCTCTGGACCCCATAGGGAGGGTCGCTCTCAGCTGGTTGGAGGGCACAGGATCCCGTCTCCAGGTGGCTCAGGAGGGCTGTGCAGCAGTGCTCCAGCCTGCTCAGTCCCAGATGCCCCCACCCGACTCAGCGGCGGGCCTCAGACCTGCCTCTCTTGTGCCCACCCCTCCACCTTCTGTTACCCCCAGCTGGCACTCTAGGTGCCTCTGTGCTAGCTACGAGGCTGGGCATGGGGTCACAGCCCTGGTTCTGGGGAGCTTGCTGTAGTCAGGAATGCTAACAACAGCAAGAGGTATCACAGGGTGGAGGCAGAGCGGCAAGACAGCCATGCCTGTGGGGAGGCCCATGGGCGTGGGTACTGGGCCTTAACACTGCACAGAAGGCCGTGGCCTGGGTCTGGCTCAGTGGAGACTTGCAGCTGTGGGAGTTGGGGCACTGGGGGCCCAGCCTTAGGCCTTGGGATGGTAGCACATGAGGTGGCACCCAAGAGGACAGACAGCAGCCTCCTGCCCGCCAGCTCCTTACTGAGCTTCCTCCTGTATTTGGCTGCTACCTGAGGGAGGAGGCCAGGAGGGGCTGCTGGGGCCATTAGTCACTAGCAGAGATGCTCAGGAGGGGCTGCTGGGGCCGCTAGTCACTAGCAGAGATGCTCAGCCTTTCCTTCTTTTTCACCATAGGGGATGGAACCCGGGGGACTCCACCATTGATCTTCACCAGCAGCCATTTTTATTCTTAAAATTTTGAGGCAGTGCTTCACTAAGGTCCCACACTGACTTTGAACTTGTGACCCTCCTGCCTCGGCCTCCTAAGTTGCTGGGTGCAAGGCCTGTACACCTGGTTCAGCTGCGGCAGCATCTCTGGTCTGGTGAGCTTGCTGCCTGCCTAGAGTCCCATCAGAGCTGCTACGGAGGCTTGGGCAACGTGGATACGAAGCTGCAAAGAACACCCACAGGGAACAGGAGGAGAGGCAGGGCATGGCAGAGTGACCATAGGAAGGAGAGGCTGAGGGCTGGAGCCCATGTGGAAGAGCCAAGGGCAGCAGAGCACAGGCAGACCAGGGCCCAGGGCAACAGCAGCAATGCTGCTTGTAGCCACACTGGGTGCAGGCTGAGCAGGAGGAAGGAGGAATGGAGCTGCAGCCCAGGCCTCCATGACAGCTCTGATGGGACTCGAGGCAGGCAGCAAGCTCACTGCCAGGACAAGCATGGAAGTGCCACACCTGAGCCTGGATGTTCCCTGCTGGAAGGGGTCACAACCTGCACCCTACCTGTGCCCCACCTGCTCTGCTCCGCCCACTCCACCCCCCAGTGCCGCAGCTGCACCCCACCTGTGCCGGTGTAGGCCATCCTGGGGCCAGCGTGGCCAGGCCCAGCTGTCCTTCCTGTCCCTGAGCCTGGCCTCAAGGACCAACCCAGGAGGCAGGTTCAAGTTCCCATTGTTTAGGCCCCTGAAAGGTGGCCAGCTCCATCTTCAGGTGACCCTGGGAGGTTCCCGCTGGAAACTCAGCAGGGAAACAAACTGCAGCATGGAGCACGAGCAAAAGGCACTGGCGGGCATTAAGTGAAGCAGGTCAGACCCGAGGTGGTGTGTTCTTCCCTGCAAGAGCCAGAGAAAAGGTGTGCGGAGCGGGGGTCCTCATGAAAATGGAAGGGAGGCCAGCACAGGAACGGGTCGGGCCCACTGAGAATGAAGCTGACTGGATTTCACTATTGCACCTGTGCAGGTATGAATAGGTAACAAGGAACCCTGTGTAATTATAATGCACCATAAAAGTAGGGGGGAAACGGGCAGGGAAGGACCAAACAGGCCGATGCAGAGGACTGTCCTTTCTACACGCAGCCAACGTAGGATGTACAATTAGACTGGGGATGGGAAGCTCTGGCTCTTTCTCTTAGGTATTCAGAGGTGTTCCTCTTTGCCTACTCCAGCCACATACACTTCAAAAACAGTAAGAAAATAAACTGGGCCTCTGAGGGCCACCATCCCAACGGTGCAGAAGTACACACACGGCTGACTGAAAAGGGGCATTAGGAGACTCCCACAAGACAGAGATCAAAAAGCAGACCTCCCAAATGAGACGGACAAGGACGTTGCGTGACCCTCACACAAGAAGCAAACACGTGACTGTGACACCACCCTCATCTTTTAGAGAAATGCAGCACATTCCTGTCAGGGAGACAAAGCCAACAGTGCCAAGTGACCAGGGCAAAGGTACCCCTGTACCTTTCCAGAGGGCAATCTGGCAACACACACAGAAGTCTTATAGCCTGACACAGTTTCCAGACTGCTCACAGGAGCTGGCCCTACACAAAGACTTGGCCACAGGAGCCAGCCACAAAAGGAGATGGGAAAGACCTCGACATCACTAGAGCCAGTCAACCCAGCAGCTGGCTCTGCTTAGTGGACCACTGTGCAGCATTGGGAATGACATCAGCCGTCTCCACGGACCCAAGATGACACTGAATGATTACAAATGAAGCCACTAAGCAGCTTTTACAAGTGTACTTTTATCAGCCTCACTATGGTGTGCTCACACATCCCTCCTCGTCCACACACAGGTTAACGAGGCGCTCCAGGGTGGTGGCACATGGCACCATGAGTGAGTTTTCAAGCTTTCTTCCCTTTTCTTTTGCTCAAGTTGCTCAAATGAAAACATGGTGCTTAGTATGTTAGTCAGCTTTTCATCTAAGACGAAATATGGGACAAGAAGCACTTTGGGACGCCAAGAACAGTGGCGCACACCTGAAATCCCAGCAGCTCGGGAGGCTGAGGCAGGAGAATCTCAAGTTCAAAGACAGTCTCAGCAATAGCAGAGCAAAAAGCAACTTAGTGAGACCTGTCCCTAAATAAAATACAAAATAGGGGTGGGGATGTGGCTCAGTGGTCAAGTGCCCCCGAGTTCAATCCCTGGTTAAAAAAAAAGAACCACTTAGGGGAGGGAGAGTTGGTTTCGGCTCATGGTTTCAGAGTTCAGTCTGTGGTGGGCTGACTCCATTGCTCTGGGCCTGAGGTGAGGCAGAGCTCATGGGTGTGGTAGAGGAAACTGCCAATTCATGACAGCTTCACAGCAAAAGAGAGCCAAGGAGCCAGGGACAAGACACACCATGCCCAAGGCACACTCCAGTGCCCCACCTGCTTAGTTACCACACAGTGCTCCACTCACATCATTAATCCATCCAATGGATTACTGCACCAGTGAGGTCCCCGCTCTCCTAATCGAATGTTTCCTTTCTGAACATTCCTGCATTGCCTGATGCATGTGCTTTTCAGGAAACACCTCATACCCAAACTGTTATCAATTAGGCAATGAAAACAAAATTATTTTAATAAACTGAATGGAAAAAATTAATTCCAAAATGAACATAGAGCAAAGCAAAAAGAGCCCTGGTGCCTTGCTAGGAGTAGCCACCCTCCAGACAGGTGCCAGGAGCCTCCCAGGTGCCTGCTGCTGTCTCAGCAGACACAGCTCCCTGGAGCCAGGGTGCTGTCTCCCAGGGACATCAGGAAGGTTCTCAGAGGGGAGGCAGAAGCATGGCATCTCAGGAATCTCTCCCCCATTATTTCTGGCTTGAATTTAAAAGGCAGAGGTATTTAAACAGGATTTAATTACAAACTCATGCACCAGAAGCAAAAATCCAGTTCCTTATAGCTGCTAACCTGGGGGGGCGGGGAGCAGAACCCACTGAGCCAGGACGAGAACCAGCAACCCTTCTACTGAAGCAATCTCATTCCAGGGTCTGCTTTCAGAATTCTAACGCAACACATACTTACAAAAAGACACACTGGGCCAGGGGTGTAGTCCATGGTGTGAGTGTGTGCTCAGCGTGTAAAGACCCTGGATACAATCCTAGACCAAAGGTAAGGAGTGATGACAAAAAGACAGACTGAACCACACAGAAGATATATTTAAAAAAACATGATGTAAAAATACAGAGTTTCCACAGATCAACACGGCACCAGGACATTCAGGGCCTTCACCCTCCACACTGCTGAGGCTTCAAGGCTATGCTGCCCAGGCTCTCCGAGGGCGCTGTGCCATGTGGCCCAGGTGGTATATCTGATCTCCTGCATGTTCGGCTTCGTGGTCCCTGAGGTAGTCACTGTGTTGCGAGGCCTAGGCAGTGTACCTCTTCTCTCCTTCATTCTTGGCTTTGTGGTACCGGAGGTAGTCACTATGCAGTTCTTTAAAGACGTCTCTGGCCCCTGGCTGTAGTGAGGTTCGGAGGAACTGGACATCAGGCTCAATGCATAGGTCCAGAATGAGGTAGATGCCCTCCTGCAGTAGGTCCTTCACAGCGGGGTACAAGGTCACCTGGGAAGCAAGGCAGAGCTCCATGAGGACACCTGGGACAGACCTCTGGCTGCACCAGGCTGGCACCACAGAGCCTTGGGGCTTTGGATATCTGATTTTTAAGGCAAGAAAAAGTCAACCTGTACAGTGCTAGGGCCACTGGTCAACATACAGAACACCACTAGCAACGCCACAGTTCCCGAGACAGACGAGCAGTTCAAAGCACTCACCCCAAGCCAGCCACAGAGAGCCCTGGTGGTAAAGGGGATGGGGCAGAGAAGACGAAAGCTGCAGCAATGTCCTCACCTGTTCCCATGGTGGCTGCTGACCACAAGCGGGACAAGACAACTGGGCTGCAGAGAGTTCTGCCTGGCATGTGCTCACCTGGGTCTACCCATCAGGAAGGTGCTCCCACTGGAAGCAGAGGGTGTGCAGTCTGTCGAGCTGCACCTGCTGTCTAGCACTTAAGCATTGGACTGGAAAGACTGACGGTGCTCTTGGTAGAAGCTTCCAGTACATAGGGAGCCTTTTTCTCATTACTGAATTTAAAAAACGATGAAGGCTATAACATACACTGCAACCAATGGATTTCAAGATTAAAATAACACAACGGATAAGTGAACACTAGGCCTGAAAACGAGGCCAGGAGACCAGAGGCCTCTCCTAAGGTAAGTGTCGGAATCGCATGACCCAGGGCTCCCATCACTGCTTGCTCTCTCGGCCTTAGTGAAGTGATCTTACTGCCTCATCGTATTCTTTAGTAAAAGAATACGATGCTGATTTTTCTTTCATCAAAGTTTGCATATTAAAGAATCTGTGCTTGGAAATACCACAATTCACACAAATGCTACACAGTTGCAGTTGCCAAAGTAGGGGTGTGGGCATGTGCCACTCAAGGACCATGCAGGGCCTCTGGCGCTCTGTGGTCTGCACTCCAGCAGGCAAAGACCCAGCTGCTCAAACATGTGGCCAGGCTGTCCCCAGCCCCCACGTCCACACAGAACGTGGACAGGGCCGCTAGCTGAGGCTAGCACAGGTAGGTCATAAGATCACCCGACAGTCTTAGTCCTGCCTGAAGCAGGGACAGGGAGGCGTGCCAAGCAGTCCACTCAGCCAGACACCCTGGAGAAGGAAGCCCATGTCCCCAACTCCCAGTGAGCATCCCAGTGTCCTGATTCGCTCACCATGCCATGCTCGCTCCTGTGCACAGCACGCCTGCAGGGGAGGCTGGCTCCTTCACAGGGAGGCAGAAGCAGTAAGACAGGAATGCACTACACAGCAGACGGACACACAAGAGCGCTCCACGTGGCCTGCTCTCTGGACCTGCCTAGGGCCACTTAAGCAAGCAGGTTGGTGCAGCCCAGTTCAGTCCTATGGCAAATGTACTGAGGATACCACAGGCTTCCAAAAATAAGCAAGGACATCCCAATGTGAAATGACTCAGGCCACAAACTCGTGACCCAGAACACTGAGCTGGGAAGTCGGACTAATCTGACCAACTCTGCCTGCCTCTTCACCTTGCTATCTGCTTTGAGCATCCGGGGCTGCTGAGTCTCACAACAGCGGCCCCAAGAGTTAAGATCCCTGCCACGCAGCAGAGGACTCAGACCACCAGCCCCTCCTCACTAGCCTGGTCCCACAACAGTTCTCGTTCTTAGTTCTGAGTGGCATGCCACCTGTCAGATCACTCAGGGCATAGATCAAACTAGGTGCCGAGTTTGTGCTAGAGTGACAACAAACCAAGGAGCCCTGGCACCTCCCAGGTGAGGCTCCACTCAGGCCTCAGGCCAGCCCATAGTGATGCCACACACACTTGGCCATGCACAGGACAGTGGGCTCAGGCCCACTCGTCTTTCAGGGAAGAAGCCACTCAGGGGCTATGGAAGAAGACCTTGGGGCAGGGCACAGTGCCTGCAATGCCAGAAGCTCAGGAGGCTGAGGCAGGAGAATCCCAAATTCAAAGCCAGCCTCAGCAATTTAATGAGACCCTGAGCAACTCAGCAAGAACTTGCCTCAAAATAAAATAGGTTTGGGATGTAGCTCAGTGGTTGAGTGCCTCTGGGTTCAATCCCCAGTACCATAAAATAAAAATAAAACCTAGAAAGACACTCAACCTGGACTTTACCTTTTGCGCCTCCGTCACGTACTGGGCCACTAGGAAGGGGGACGACGTGGTGAACTCCTCGGACCGCACGGCAATGTGGCTATACATGCGCTCCACCAAGCGCGCACACTCCAGGATCACCGGCAGGTCATCCGCACATCCTGCAGACAAGGGCCAACGGGTTAGCTCCAAACACAGCACAGTCAGACCAGCTCCTCCAGTCCTCTACCACAAGCAGACACCTGAGTCTCTACATTTTCCAGGCTCTCTGATTGGCTTATTTTGAAGAAAAGAGAAAGGAAAAAACATATGTCCAAATATTTACCTAGACACCCAGGGGAGAAAGAACATCTACAACACTCAGGAGTGCGTGGGATGTTGAAGAGTCCCACCAGGAAAATAAGACTTTCAGGACGACATCTAGAACTGCTCCTGCGTTTCAACAGGAGACGCACGTCTACAAGGTAGATAAAACGGGAAAAATGGCAAGTTGTCTTACAGAAAAACAACTGTGCACTAATATCACATGATTCAAAAAAATAAGATGCCAAATTGCATCTGTGCCGTGGTGAAAGTTGGACAACTGTGTGATGGACAGGTGGATATGGACCTCACCTTGTCACAAGGCAGCCTCTGGCCTTCTGGGACCCACTTTCCTGTAGTGCTATGGCCCCCAGGCCCTGACTCAGTCCAAAAACTCACACAGCCTACGCCTTCCCTGCTTGGCTCAGCTTGGTGGCAGCCCAGTTCTGTAAGTCTAGAATACGCAGGTGAGGGACTGGGGCTGAGGCTCAGTGGTAGAGCGAGCACTTGCCTAGCACATGTGAGGCCCTGGGTTCCATCCTTACCACATAAAAATAAATAAAAGTATATCTACCTACAACTAAAAAATATTTTTTTAAAAATGCAGGGAAATGTAGTGACACAGAGCACATTAGCCACAGCTGCCTGGGGCTGGGCCAAGAGGTCAGAGCCCAAGGCACCCATAGGAAGCAGCGGTGGGCTGCCCCCCGCCGGGACTGCTGTGCTTCCCACTGCTGCAGGCTGTTGGGACTCATTCGGCCCTGCACTTTGAGCAGAGGTGGTCTGTCACACAAATGCTGGACCTCAGTGAGGCTGATTCTTAGACAGGCAACACGTTCTGTAAACCCTGAATGAGTGTACGACCACCTCTAGGGGGTGTAGTCTTTCAGTGCGATTCCTGTGAAGCTACAAGATGGCAGCGCCAGGGGGCACTCCACAGCCCATGGCAGCCCACCGCTTCTCCTCCTTTCAGAAGCTCACCCTATTGTTTCCAATGAGCACCTGGCAGGGGCTACTTCAGCCCCTGACTTCATGTATGGCCACTTAAGAATGCACCAGATAAAGGGAACAAACAGATGCATGTAACTGGGCTAGACAATGTGGGCACGTGGCAAGACAATGACGAAGGACTCAGGGGGCAGGCCAGGCTGCACTCCACACCACAGGCCTCGGCCAGGCCTGCCCATCTCCCATCTAGGCAGACAGCACCATCAGAACAGTGCCCTTAAGGCGCTCGGATGGGATCTATCTGCGGGTCTCAGCACAGGACAGCAGGCAGCCATTAGCTGCGAGCCCAGGCTGGTGTGAGAGGAAATGTTCCCTAGCCCTGCTCTTCAGCAGACGCAGTCCTCCATCCTGAGCACAGAAGGCTAAACTGCTCACTGTGCCGCTGCGTGGTCTCCAGCAGAGCAGCTGAGCACTGTGCTCTGCTCTCCATTGCAGGCCAAGGACCTGGCTTACTGCCGCAGCCTGGGGCACCTATGGGAGGTGTCGAAGCCTGCTCCTGTCAGCCCAGGCTGCTGGGTTGGGCTCCCCAACATAACCTCCCATCTGACCAGGGCATCCCGCAATACCTGGTCCCCATGCTTGAGTACCATGTCTCAATTTCAAAATTGTGACGTAAAACAGCAAGTCCTACTTCAGTGCAACCCTTCCCAATAATGAGAACTTCCCCAAATCAGAAATGCAAACAGCATTCACACCTTCAAAGCTGAAAAAGACCCAGACACAGACCCTGGTACTGCCTGTGACAGGGTGAGTTTCCCTGGGAGAGAGGCATGACCCTGTGGGTCAGGTGAGAGGGAAGGTGCAGGGCCTTGCCTCAGCCGCGTGTCAGTGGGAAGCTTGCACCCTGCTCCTTCTGCCTCCCAGAAACCACCCACTCAAGGGCAGGAGCACAGTGCCATCTGTCTCTGTCTCTTTTGGTGTTGGGGCACCTTAGCACTGAGCCACAGCCTAATCCGTTTTGACTTTGAGACAGGGTCTCACTAAGTTGCTGAGGCTGGCCTCCCCTGTAAGCCGCTGTGCCTGGCTAGCTGTAGTCATAAAAATGACTATAAATGTAGTCATAAAAATATCTCCTATACAAGCTATGTGGTCAAAAAAATTTCCTAAATCTACATACTTTTCTTTCCAGAAAAAGAATTGTTTCAATTAGAGGTGACAAACATGTCCATTGTTTTGAATAGGATAAAATGAGTTTTATTTTTTCTTTAATATCTTGAGTGTTTATTTGATGACCTAAACTCGGCTTAGTAGATTTATCTTAGTTACATCTGTGGCCACATGATAAATATACTTGGAACTGCCTCTGAGGCTGCTATTCTGAATTACCTTTGTCTTTCTGCCGCCCTTCATGCATAACTGAGAACACCAGTCTGTTGAAGGAGTTCAGGAAAGACGGGATGGCCTTCAGCACCACCTGCAATGGCAGATCAGAGAATAGAGTGAGCGTGCAAGCATCTGTCCACCTGCTTCTCTCTTCACCTTGCCTTGCAGGCTCACAACAGGCGTGCCCTGCTGCCAGGAGGCTCCTCTGGCCTCATCTCTGGTGTGACTGCTCACCCACCCTGCACTTGGCTCTTTAACCCTTGCTTCCAGTCTGTGGTAGAGGTTCCACACTGAACAATTCTAGAAGCTGGTGGATAAGCTTGGCCTAGAGTCCGCTGAAGCTGTGCTTTCCCCTAAGCTGGTTCTAACACTCCTGGAAACAAACAGCAACAACACCTGACTCATTCAGATAGAACTGGTGCTAGGGAAGGGCCTCACAAGCAAATCCACATAAAATGGGGAGCAAAACTCCTCTGTCCAGAGGGATGAAAAGGTCTGCTGGGACTGTTTTAAACATGTGCCAAAATGACAAAATGCTTCCTCACATTCAACCCTTTTGGGAGCAGACCACGCGCCATCCCCAGCAGCCCCGTGGGATGTGCACACATATGGGGAGCAGACCACACCATCCCCAGGCAGCCCCGGGCAATGGGCGCACACACCGCCAAGGCAGCCCTGGACGATGTGCACACACACACCACATGTGCACACATGCGCCGTCCCCAGGCAGTCCCATGCAGTGTAATACTCAGGTTAAACCAATGCACACGCTAAGTACAGCTAGGTATGCATCTCTAAGTCAGGCCAGTCTGCAGACCACACATGGCCATGCTGTTAGGAGGCCAGTGGTCACTGTGCTGGACTATACAGAAGCCACTGAACCCTTTACTTGACAGCATTGCCCTGCTGTGACTCAAGCGTGGGACTGACTAGTGTCTTCTGTGAGTATCCAGCAACATTCTGAGCAGCACTGCACAGGTCAAGTCACTGCACGCCCACAGAAAGGCGGGCTCTGCCAGCATCCCCAAGAGCTGCCACTCCCCAGCCTCTCCTGATGCTCTGTCACCTTAGGGTGAAAAGCCACAAATCCAGGAGCAGACCCTCTAAACCACCTCCTCACATGACTGCAACAAGTCATCTGGCCTCTGTGTGTGTGTGTGTGTGTGTGTGTGTGTGTGTCTCAGCTTCCTCCTCAGCAAACGAGGACAATGATGGGCTCTCACAAGGACTGAGACAAGACACGTGGCCGCCAAGCGTGGCACTGGCAGCCAGCCTTCCGCTGCACCCTCAGGTGTCCCTGAGAATAGTGGGCATCTGTGCCAGTGTGGACTCACAGTGTGGTCACCTGTGTGTCCTCCCATTGCCTAATGTTCGGATCACAAAACGCTCCCATGTTCCTGTCTAGGTCTGCTGAATGCTCATGTGATCGTAGTTTCCTAGATCCACACAGCCTCTTCGCATGTCACCACTTCAGGAAATCCTCCATCTCTTGCAAAACTCCACAGCCTTGGATTGTGACTGACTGGCACTGCAGGGGCACTTCAGTTACCTAACAACTGACAAGGACCTGACAGGAGAGGCAGGGCCACGGGTGATGGCTGGCTGGGGAAGGCTCTGGAGTAAGCCCAACTTGGTAAGTGCTTAGCTTGCCAGAGATGATCTGTCTGAAAAACTGTGCTACTGGCAGGTCTCCCCAGAACTGCCGAACCCTGGAGAATACCTGGGTGCTTGTGAAGATGCGAGTACTTCATGTTCGGGAGTTCTCACTGCATGCAGTGAGCCTTAGAGCCCTGGCCCAGGACATCCCAGTGCTGACCTCCACTGCTTCACCACCAGAGGGGTGACTGCCTCCCTTGCAGGCCAGCAATGGGGGAGGCAGCAGGTAGGCAGTGAGTGCGCTCTGCTGCATTGTGAAGCGCCAAAAGCAGTCAGTCTACTCTGAAACCAGAGCCAGGGACCTCAGTCCTCCACCCACTCAAACTTGAGCCTAAGAGACTTCAGCAAAGCAGGGGTCTATTCAAATACGAGCCCTTGAATATCAGTAACGAGCACCATTTGATGTGCTAGACTCAGCAAAGAACGCACAGAGCCCAGTGCTCGTCTAAAGCCTGGAACTTCCTGGAGCCAGTCTGCTTAGCAGAGCACCCTGCAGAACAGGCCGTGTGCCCTGCTGAAGGCTGGAGTCCCCTGCCCATGCTGTGGAGACTGCTGGCACCCTTGCCCCCTCACCTTTGGATGACACTGCAGGATGGAGAAGAGCACATTGTGTAGCCCCAAGAAGACTCTGCCATACTCTGGTGGCCTCAGGTGATCCAGAGGGACTGTCAGCAGGATACTGAAGGCCAGGTTGACGTGGTGGGGGTTGCTGATGGCCTCCTCGCCCTGCCGCAGCAGGAGAGCCAGGACATCTAGAACAGGTTCAACCACTGTGAGGACCACGGGCCGCTCCTGACAAGCCTCTCGGCTTTGCAGCTAGAGGTTGAGAGAGGTAAAGGAAGAGAGCAAAACTGATTCTCCAAGAAACAATACGAATGCTGAGCACTAGCAGGCAGAGGAGACCGTCCATGCTCTAAATGAACTGGTGAAGGGTCAAGGAGGCCAGTCACACCCAAGGCACCTGCTGTGGATGCAGACACTTCTTGCTGGACTCATTTACTGCACAGAGAAGCTGTTTTCACAAAGGAGTTGACACATCCAGGTTCCCACAAGAAAACTAGACGTCAGACACACATGATAGCATTTTCCCAAAACAGGCCATCAGTTCCACGTCTGGGACCAAACGTGACTTTTTAAACTTCTTATAAATCCCATCAAAGATGTCTAATCATTGTTCCAGAAAATAAAGAGAACAGACTGGAGAAGAGGGACAGCTTGAACCTTCCCCAAGTTCACCGGGGACACCCTGCGCCGTCTCTGACACTAAGGGCCCCTGCTGTGCTGGCCATGCAGAGGGCTTGCCACACATGAAAAAAGTGAAGTGGTTCCAACCTGCGCGGCATGCAAATGACCACATGCCATCAGCACCCGACCCCCCACTGGCCTTCCACTAGGGATGAGCAGCACACATGCGGGAACCACCTGCTTCAACCATGGTGCAGACTCGGGAAACAAAGGGTGGGTGAGGGCCACTCTCCATATCCTCTCTCTGGGTGTACTCAGACCCAGAGCACATCCCTCAGATAGCAGGGCCAAGCAGCACTGGGGACAATGGTGAAACAGACACTGCCCTGGGCACCATCACCAGGAGGTTCTGGTCAGGCTCATCCCAGGGTGGAAGTGCCAAGCCTGGACCAAACTGAACTAGGGTTTTGTTCAAGTGAAACAAAGTCAAGTGACCGCTGGACATAGGTCCCGGGGAAGACAACACAGGACCCTCCTGTCCCTGACACTAGCAGCCACTCCAGGGGCATCTCCCTCACAGTGCCGCAGGCTTACACCCCCTCCAATGCACACACATTCTGCATTGAGCACAACATCTGTGGGGATGAAGCAAGCCCCAGCCCCTCCTCCCTGAGTCACGTGACCCAGTGCTTCTCATGCCTCCTTCCCCATCCCCATGCCAGGGCTGCAGACGGGACACACAAACTGGGCTGCAGCTCATAGCCACCAGCAGGAAGCAGCCCAGAAACACTACCCCAAGCCAGAGCCCCGTGCTGGCTGTCTTCAGGGAAGAGGGGAAGAGCAGGAGAGCACATCCCCAGAGGCCACTCACCGTCAGAGCCGAGACTATCTGGGGACATGCACGCCACAACAGGCTCGCTTTCTCTCCACTGAGCGGGCAGCTTAGTAGCAGCTTGAGCAATCCAACAGCACACAAAACAGCCTGAAACAAGGGGGGCACTCAGCGCAGACAGCTCCCAACCTGGAGGAGGAACCTTCACTGCCGCTGATACCTTGACCCAAGAGCCCTGAGAGCCATGCCGAAGGCAGTGACAAGGCCTGAGGGTGAGTTCTCACCAGCACCTAGAGGCAGGGAGGCGAGCACAGCTCTGGCAAAGTGGGGCCTTTCAGGAGCCTCTCAGCCAGGCTCACAAAGGGGCCAGGACAATGAACTCAGCCATTCACCAAGACTCTGTGGAGGACGCTGACTGTCCCTCAGAGCAGGAGTACCAGTTTTCAGATAGGAGGGGCTGGAAGAAGACACTGGGTGAGGTGCCATGGCCCAGGTGCTGGCCTCAAGCCACAGCATGGGTGCCCACCAAGCACATCACACCTTGGGTTTTGGCCTCATGACAGCCTCTTCTTCCCTAATACTGTGCAGCCCCACACCCCTGGCCCACATCCTGCTGCTGCTCTTGGCCACTAGCCCTGCTCACCTCTCTCTGGCTGTGCACTCTCGTAAACCCATGTACTCCCACACCCCTGCCCCTGAAAGCCTCATGCCCAGCCACTTCCTCCCCCACCCACCCTCTGCTCTGGCAGACCAGCACACTGCCTGCACTGTGCTTCTCCTCCTATCCCCCAAATCCTGCCATTCTTCAACCCTCAGTTCAAGCCTCCCTCCTCCTGAAGACCTCTGACTGGCTGATTTACATAGAAACCTGGAGCTAAATTGCCTCGATTTGCTGGAGGAAGCCCCAAAGTCCAAAGGCCGAAGTGTGCTCCAGAAACACAGTCCAAGTTCCAGAGATGGGTCAGTGCACAGGCAGGGGAGTGGCTAGGTAGAGCCCTTGTGCCCACCAAGAGACTGTGCTATCCCTGGACCCCCCATTCTTCCCCAGAATTCCCAAATTACCCTCCCTAGCTCCCCTCCCACCCAATCAAAACTGATCACAAGGCATCAACTAGGACCAGGAGTGAAGGCAGCTGGACCAGAGGCCATGGCTACAGTCCTGGTCACCAACTGTCAGCTCCATGTGACAAAGTTTCTCTGCAGTCAATGCCTGGGACCACCCAGAGGAGCTGATTCCAATACCCCAGTGCTGTGTGTGAGTCATTCCCAGCAGGCCGCGCCACAAGGGCTTTCTTAGGACCTGCACTGGGCTGCGGGACTACATGCTTCTCCAGTGCTGGCCTGTGGACAGTGTTCATGTCAGGCTGTCTTCACGGAAGTGTGGCGAACAGGTGGAATTTAAGCATTCCGTGAGTCAGTATGCGTGTGTGTCACACCTAGCTTCTGTAAGGTAAGAAGGCAGTTTGTAACCTAGGACAGTCCTCTTTGAAATCAAGGGTTCCTCCCATGGCTGAGCTTCTGTTCTCAGCAGGGATGTGCTTGCTTACTTTAAGGATGAGTGGAATCCTGAACAAGCCCACTGGCCGACAATATGTGAGCCTGCCATGCGGGCAGAGGGAGGGTACCTGCCTGCATGTCTGCCGTCCACACATGACGGATGTCCAGTCCCTGGAGAACAGACTGGACCACCAGCCCAAAGTCCTCCATCGTCCCAGCCTCCAACATCTGGGTGAATAGGGCTCCCAAGTGAGGCTCAATGTCCTGGGCAGCCAGAGCAGGGATGGCAGGATCTGTAGGAAAAGAATCCAAGGTATAAAGAAGGGACAAAAGCCAGAGTGGCTGTGGGAGGCGGTGAGCAGCCATGCAGACTAGCAATCCCAGCTCGAGGGGCCTGGGACACTCAAGTGCTGGTGAACACAACCCTGGCAGTGCCACTAACATAGAGCTACACCAGGCAAAGTGTGCACACACAGTACACATGCCGGCCACCAACAGCAGGCTCAGCAACAGTGCACTCTGCCCTTGGCAGCCTGTCAACTGGTGCCTATTTCCTTGGTGAGTCATATAAATTCAGTTAGGGGCAGCAGTGGGAATGTACTTTTCACTAGACAGGAGTACTGGAAAGAGCAAGAGAAACTTAACCCCCAAGAATGCTACCTGAGTCCTCCAGCCTTCCTTCTCTGGCCCCAGCTTGATCCTCCAGTTGACTGACCACCCCATCTTGCCAGAATGCCTTCCACTGACCAGTGTGTGCCCACTACTCTCAGAGCTGGGGGCAAGGGACCAGAAATTCTATGAGACAGAGCTAGGTCTGAGACTCCTACAAGCTGTGAGACCCTAACTCCTGGCCACTCAGCCTTAATCCCCTCATCAGTGAAGTAGGCACTATAGCATACTCCTGCAGCTGGCAAAGAGGAGGATGTCATGGTGAGCCCTCTCGTGCATGCTCCCCTCCACCCGCCCACCACCCTTCACACAGCTAGGCTTGGCTGCATGGTGTCCCCGAGTCCTGGCTGGGTGTCTAGAATCTCATGGCCTCTCTCCTGGGATCCATGAAGACGCTGTCACTTCTCAGACCAAAGCCAGCGGCTCACTGCTTCAGAGCAGGAGACAGTTCTACACCCAGAAGGACCAACGGTAAAGCTGGCTTCTGTGACCCTAGGGAGGAAGTCGTTCACTGCCAGGAAGGATTCTTCATAAAGGCTCATGTGTCCAAGCCAAAAGCCACACCTGAGCCACTAAGGAGACAGGGATCTCCACAGGGTAACCTGTGTGGCCACTCTTCAGTTCCCTGAGACCACCTTTGCATTCCCTGTTCCTTGCTAGTGCCTTGAGCCACTCCTTGCATGGCATCTCTCCAGATGGCTCTCTACTCTGACACTTCCCTGGACAGTCACATGGCTCAGGTGTGAGGGCTGGACTAGGGACAGGCAGCACACTGGTCTCACCATAGCTGAGGCTCTATCCCTGGGGTCAGAGGCACTACCTGCACAAGGACACAAGAGTCAGAGCTTAAAGACTGCCTCAACTTGCCACGGCTTGCAGGGGATGGGGGATAAGGCATTCTGTTAACAAAAGGGCCAAGCGGCCAGAGCTCCAGACCCCAGCTGCTGTTGCCTGGGAAGCCCACATAGGAGGCTATTGCTGGTCTCAGTGAAAGGCTCAGTGTTAGCCCCTGTAGGAAGGGGAACACCACTCCTTGAAAGACTAGCTGATAGGAAGATACAACATCATGCCGAGCTCCTTCAGCTGACCCAAAGTCCAGCTAGAGGAGGGCACTGACAACGGCAGCCTTGTTCAGACCAACTTCAGATTTGGCACAGACCCAGGCAGACCAGGTGGCTTTACTTCCTACAAGGCCCCACTGACCCTCACAGCTTCTCTGTGGAAAAGGGAGCTCAGCACATACTGAGGGTCAGGCTGGGCCCAAATCCTCAGCTTCACCTCAAAAGACTTGTCTTAGGTGGGTGTGGTGGCCATGACTGCAATTTTAGACACTCAGGAGGCTGAGACAGGAGGATCACAGGCTCAAGGCCAGCCTCAGCAACTTAGCAAGGCTCTGTCTCAAAACAAAACAAAAAGATTCTGTAGGTGTAGCTCAATGGTAGAGCATCCTGGGTTGAGTCCCTAGTACTATAAAGACAAGACTGTCTTAACGCCTAGCCCAGTCCTTTAGCAAAGCCCTATGCCAACCATGGTGAACTGTCTTAAAACAGGACAGACTCTGGTCCCACTAACCTTTGTTAGCCTTTGGAGAGAAGTAAAAGTCTATATTATTTTCATATACTAGTGACTGTAATAGATTTTCATGATTTTTTATTGCATTATCGACTTGTTTTTACATAGGCTTGAAAGAGGCACTCAAAACCACTAATCTATCCTTGCTTATAGTAAACTAAGTCATAGAAGAAAAGTGTTTATCCATTACTACATCAGTGTGAAAATGGTATATAAAGAGAGCATGGCATTGCCACAACACTTGAACACATGGCTGTTCTAAGTTCTGCATGTGCTTCCAGCCCTTGTATACATACATGTACACTTTCTGTAGTTGTAACGATAGCACATTTAGCACTTTATGTTGTGGGATTCTGGCTTAACACTGATGCTTGCCCATTAGTTCTAAAGCGCCTCCGTAGTTATCATTGTAGGGTTTCAGTGACCCATTAACCTCAGCCCTGAGATGGAGGGAGAAACCAGCTCTTTCTCGCTGAGCTGTTTGAGGTTCTGGCTAGCTGGTCCATAGGGCAACCTCCACTAACATCCTGCAATGAACCACAGGCAGCATGAGGAGTGGGGCTGGGAAGGTGGCACTATCATTAAGGAGCCATAGGAGGCCCCTACAAACTGAGCCATTTGCAATTTTTTTGAGTTGGCAGATTTTACATCTATTAAAAATCAAGGGCTGGGGATATAGCTCAGTTAGTAGAGTGCTTGCCTCACCTACACAAGGTCTTGAGTTAAATCCCCAGCACCACACACACACAAAATCAAAAAACAAAATCAAGGTACAGCCCTGAGAGTCTAGGAAGGGTGAAATTAACTAATGCCAGGCATCCACAGCCAAAGCAGGTTAAAGGCCAAAAGAGAAAGGGGGGCTAGATTTCAAAACACACACAAGGGCCAGCAGAGCAGAGCAGCGGTGAAGCATCTGCCCAGTAGGTGTGAGGCCCTGGGTTCAGTCCCAGTACTAAGGAAACCCCCCTCACACACACACACACACACACACACACACACACACACGACCTTCTCCAGAGTCAGTGAGAAACAAGGCACTGAGGGGCACACCGGCAGGCCGTGCTGTGCTGTGGGAGAGCCACAGACCCACTGTTCATGCCTGCCTGCGGTGTAAACAGAAAAGGAAACCCTGGGGCCAGCACTGGGAGGGCACCCTTCCCACTGTCCCTGTGGGGCACCTTGCAAAGACAGCAGGTATCACTCCTTGACCAAAAGGAGAGGCATGCTGGTGACAGGGCTCCAGCTGCCCAAGCCCCTGCTCAGGAGAAGACATCTTACCTGCAAGAACTGTCCTCACGGCATGAAGTATGGAGACAAAAACAGGTCCTTCTGGGGGATGGAGTGCAGGGGCCGAAAAGAACAGAGTTAGAAACTGCAAAGCTGCCTGGAAAGACAGAGTGTCCCTTGCCAGGGCTGGCAACTCCAACAGCAGTCGGGAGTAAACACTCTGGTAGAGGGCAGCGTTGGTGGGCACTACTCTGTCCATCCCTTGTGAAATCCCAACCCAATCTGGGTGCTGGCTTAGGTCCACTTCCAAAAGTGTGGCAACAGCTGAGAGGAGGGCTGAGGGCAGGCAGTGGCCCCTGGTCCCTGGCACCAAGCATGGCTGCAGACCAGTGGCCATCTGCAGCATAGCCTGCTGCAGCAACTCGGGCAGTGATGCTGGTGCCTCCTGCAGCTGCCTCCGGTCCTTGACAAGAGGCCCCAGGACTTGGCACAACTTGGTTAGACACACCAGAAGCAGCTGGCTGCCCAGAGGGCTCTGGTTTTCCAACTGCTCACTGAAAGCTGCCTCAGTGTGCAATTTACACCTTGAGAGGAATGTGGTGATTTTCCCAAAATTGAGCACCAAGCTCAGTCTGCTCTGGATGAGCATCTGCATTAGCTGCTCCAAGAATGACCCTACCACCTGGAGGAACTGCAGCCAAGAGGGGTCATCCACCTCAAGGCAGAATCCACCACTGGTTGGCAGCAACGAGGTTAGCACAATCTCAAAAATATCACTGACGTACATGACCCTGAACACACAGCGGGCATTCCTTCCCCTCTGCAGGCAAGCAAGAAGCTGGTAGCAGGTCGTCAGGAACTGGAGGGCCAGGGAGGAACAGGAACGCCCCTGTGTGCTGACAGCCATGGTCAGTAGCAAAAGAAAGTAATGCAGATGATGGGGTGGCAAGAGGCTGTCCAGGTGCAGAGCAGAAATAATGTTCAGAAGCCCCAGGAGGTCTCCTAACTGTTCATCCTCCAGCTGGATCGGAAAGTCACTCTTGAGCAGGGACAGAAAGTTCTGGGCAATTTCTCCTCTTGGTTCTACACCTTCAGGTCCAACTTTTGCAAATCTGGATTCCCAGTGAGCCATAACTGTGTGGTCCTTTTCCAAAAGCCAGGGTAACTGCTGGCTGAGAGAACCCGGGCCACTCTGGGAACCGGAGCACAGAATACTGGAACACCTTGTAGCTACGCACCTCAGGAAGGCAGAATGGAGGGACTGCACCTCTGGAAAGAGAGGGCTGTGAAGGAGGGATGTGGACACTCGCTCAAGTGTAATGGATGGCTCTTCATCTGCAGAGGCTCCCTGGGCTTGGCTGGTTGGCAAAGTTCTTAACAGGACCCTGGCCAGGTATCTGACGTCATCCAGACATAAGTAGGGTATTAATATTGGGAGGTTTGACACTAACAAATGCCAGTGTGCTGCAGGATATGTAGATGCACTCACTGTTCCTACCTGCCCGTCCCAGGAAGCTGTCATCCTTAAACTCAAGCTGCCCCTGCCAGAACCAAGAATATAGGCAGCATCACACCTCAAAGTCTGGAGGACTTGCTCGGACTGGGAGCTAGTCTGCATTAGTGTCCTTCTCATTCTCTGCAGGTAGAGCTGTTCCAAGCAATATCTACCAAGAGATCTGGACTGGGCTGTAAACTTCTCGACCTTCTTCCAAAGCCGTGCTTCCACACCTGGGAGTAATGAAGGATAGTTGGAGATCTCCAGCTGGGTCCCAGCCACAGAGCAATACTGGCCACAGTTCAAACTGAGCATGGCATCCACCTGGGCCCAGGTATAAGAGAGCAGGAGTGCAGAGTCACTCACCTTCTGTAGCCACAGCTCAGACTCTGGGCCTGGGGTGTCCAGCAGAAAGGCCAGAAGGGGCTTCACGAGCTCTCCCAGCACCCTCTCCATCATACACTGTGCCCGCCGGATGACAGGCAGGGGTGTGCTACTGTCCAGGCTGGGCATGTTGAACATGACGCAGTGTAGCAGTGAGCTGAGGGACAAGGACTTCAGAGCCATGTCAACATCACTTTGCAAACAGGGTAGGATTAAAGACTGGAACTTGTCCAGCACAAGGGACCACATGTCCAGGACCTGACTTGGTGGCAGTTCCAGGAGGCATGCGCAGAGTGCAGCAGAGGGGCCCGCAGCCAGCACAGGCTGCCTCAGTGCCTCTGCAGCTGGGCGGCAGATCACTCCCAAAAGCTCCTCAAACAACCGTGGCACCTGTCGGAGTTTGGCATATGTCTGGAAGAGGGTGTGAATAAGCACCTCCTGGGCTTTTTTGGTTCGAAACTCTGTTACTTCTGCATCAATCCAAGCTGAAGACAACAGGTCATCCAGATCTGGCTCCAAAATCAAATGATTGAGAGATATCAAAATCTTGAGGCAGCGGAACCAGGCTGGCACAGGTGCTTGTGGGTGGTTTATCAACAGCTCAGCCACCCCGCGGTAGAAGTGGAACTGCGCCTCCCCATGTCGGATCCTGTCAGTGGCCACATTGTAGATGCTGCTGCTAGCCACGGAGCTCAGCAGCTGCTCCACTACCAGAAGCTCTGTGGTCCAATCTGGTATGGACATGGCTTTCCCTGGCTCCTCTTGAAGGTGTGAAATTCGCAGGCAGCCAAACAGCCTGGGGAGAGCCTGGAAGCAGAGAAACTGGTTTCCCTCCTTGAGGTAAGAATCCAGAAAGAGCCTGTACAACACAGCGACCGAGGTGGCCACAATGGTGGCATGAAGGTGCAGTTCACAGTGGCCAGCATCCAGCAGTCTGGTCACCACTGTGTCCAGGGGAGTGAGAAGACTCTTTGGGGTCCCGATCTTTGTGTCTCTTTGCTGCTGGCCCAGGAGCTCCTCTGTGTAGGAAGAGAGCATATCAGGCTGAAAAACTCCCCCTCGAAGCACAGCCTCAAGCTTACTCCTGACTTCCCGGCTGAGCACCTGGGGCACCTGGCCCTGGCCAGCCTGTGTCCATGTACCCCCAGAGAGAAGGTGCCTCAGGATCAGGCAGGGCTGGAGCAGGTGCCCGGTCATTTCCCCAAAGACACGTCTGGGGTTGGCCTGCTGCTGCTGAATCAAGAGGTAGTGGCCCAGGGCCAGGTGAATGACCTCAAGTAGTGGGGCTGCCACAGCTCCCTCTGGCTGCCTACAGGCTGACCAGCACAGCTGGCTCAGCAAGGCCACCAGCAGTTCTTGTTTGGCCGTATAGATGACAGCCAGGGCAGGCGTCGAGAGGATGCCCCGGCAGCTGCTCAGGACAGCAGAGATGTTTCTTTGGGATCCTGAAAGAGAGAACTCAGCTATTCTCTCATTGATGATCTGAGATTAAGAGAGAAAGAAAGCTCATTACTTCCCTAAATTCACAATTACACAAAATAGTACCACAGAATCAATCAGCTCGTTCTTCTCCCACACTTGGTAAGAAAGAGATGTCCAGACTATCATATCTACGTGAACTTGACATTTGCTTAGAGCACTGAAAGGCAGCCAAGCGCCTGCTTTGATTCATTCACACACCTACCTTTTGCCAGTATCAACTCCAAACAGGATTAGTGCCTTTGTAGGTTTGTTTGCCATTTTTTAAAGGCTGGGCTTTAAAAGGCTTAAATGTTCTTCTCAGCCCCTGAATCTGTTAACTCAGCTCTGATAATACCAGGTAGGTAGACAGTGGCACTTGGATCATGACCGTGTGATCTAACATGTTTTTATAGTCAATTATATGTTTCCTTCTTTAAAAAAAAAAAGATACTCTATAAAGGAAAGCAAATTGCCAGTCACTGCTCATCACTATACAGCAGACCCACTATCTGCTGCTCTCAAAATTCCAAAATTCAAAGACAACAGAAATGAGAGCCAAGCAGATTCCTAAATTCACTGACAGGCAGAATGACTCGCTCCTTATGGGAGGTAAGAATCCAACCTGTCCAGGATGCTACGCTACCTACGAGAAGCACCGTCACTTCCACCTAGCAAGGGCTGACTCCGAACTTCAGGGCTGCTCTGGAAAGCTGCAGCAGACATGCTGAGTCCTTAGAAGTCAATGTGCCCCCATGGGCTCATCAGTAAAAATCTTTCCCACTTTAAAAATTTAAGTGTAGTAAGTGTGGTTTCTTGAACATTGAGATGTTCTAAATATTCCTTCCACGCTCCAAAGGATGGTTCAGAATGACCCACTGTCTGTTACTTCAAAGCGCACAGTGGAGGGCCTCATCCCAAGAACCACCTGCAGCTCATGGCATTCTCCTCCACTTACTTCCCCTCTGCCCATGCACCCATGAGGGTGAGGCTTAGATCTGATGGCAGGCTTTGTAATCAGCTCCAGCTGGTTCAAATCCCAACTCTACCTCATACCACCCACGTGATGGGAGGCAAGTTATGTAACCTCTTTGAGCCTGTCCCATACAAAATACTCCTTAGTAGTAGTCCTTGTGTAATTAGCTATTCTCATGGCATTTCAAAGTACTATGCTGACAATGAAATTCACATCTCTGACTTCAGCTTTCAAAATTACTTTCAGTCAAAAATCTTTGAGGGCCAGGGGTTGTAGCAAACACTTGTAATCTTAGCTAGCCAGGAGCCGAGGCAGGAAGATCACAAGTTCCAGGCCAGCCTGGGCAATTTAGTGAGGCTGTGTCTCAAAATAAGAGATTAAAAGGGCTGGAATGTAGCTAAGTGGTAAAGTGCCCCTGAGTTTAATCCTCTGTATTGAGGGTAAAAATTAAGACTAGCATAGTTTGCTGGCTACTTTTTCCAATTAAAAAGGTAATCAAAATCTGTTCTGAATAGTTCTAAGCTCTTATTTATTGACTGAACCCAGGGGCACTTAACCACTGAGCCACATCCCCAGTCCTTTTTAATATTTTTATTTAAAGATAGGATCTCGCTGAGTTGCTAAGGCCAGCGTTGAATTCATGATCCTCCTGCCTCAACCTCCCAAGCCTCTAGGATTACAGGTGTGCACAATTGTGCCAGTCTAAGCTCTTCTTTAACATTACATATTATAAAAAGCTTATTAGCATAGTCCAGACCACTTGATATAAATCAATAAGTCACCTGAAATTTCCTGAATGTTCACAAGTTACCTTGACGAGGGAGATCTGAAGATTGATTGTCTTTCCATTCTTGAAAAGATTCTGCAATTTTCTGCTATGTAGAATGTTATCTACATAGGCCCAAAGCCTTTCAACAACATCTTCCGTCAGTTCAAGTTTTTTCTTATAAAATGCAACCAACGACTGTCTTGCCCAATCAAGTAAAACCTGAATTTGAAGGAAACATATAAGTAAATGAATTTCTTCTACAAGAGAGAAAGATGTTGAACACTCTGGGAACATCCAACCAAATCCAATTGCAAGGAGAACACTCTCCTGGAAAATTCACTTGTGGTAAAATTACATCATGTCAACGCCAGGGCATCTTAACACATTTGCTTTTAGAAGAATAAAAAGGGCCAGGCCTGGTGGCTCATGCCTGTCATCTCATCAACTAGGGTGCTAAGGCAAGAAGATCCCAAATTTGAAGATAGTCTCAAAACAGTACCAAAAAAAAAAGGATTTGAGGATGTAGCTCAGTGATAAAGTGCACTTGGGTTCAATACCCCAAAAAGGAAAAGAAAGGGAAAAACAGCCAACTTTGTCTTCATCTGGGACCAATTAAAAATTCCAGAAGAAATGCTAACATCTTATCCTCTTTCCCACGCTGTGCTGAGTTTTAAGAGGTAGAAGCTTGACTGCTTGGAAGGTGGCCACAAGTGAATCACACACAAAAAGCAAAGGCGAAAAGAGTCAGAACCCTGGGATCTGTGTGGTGCTTCCCCAGTCCACCTTCAGCGCAGCCAGGAGACAGTCAGTGTGGACTGATGCACAGGGCTGGACAAGAGGGGATGCATACATGTGCCCTCCATGACTGTCCATGTGAGAGCTGTGAGAAGTGGTGAGGCCTCTGTTCCAAGTGCCAGAAATCCCAGAGCTGCCAGGAATAGTAGGAAGAGGGGTCAAGCAAAAGGGGAAAACTCTCAAGGTAAGGACAGTGAAGATTCCGATCACACAGCCTGTCAGGCTACCCATATCCGACCCTGAGCAGCACCAGCCAGGCAACCACCAAACTGCGAGGAAGATTCCATGTGCAACCAGGTGAGGACAGGACAGGTGTTCTACAGATTTCCCCTGAGCACTTCCACAACATGATCCATCTCCAATGTCTTATGCTGCCTCCTTTAATACCAGTATCAGGATGTGTGTCAGTCCAATCTCATGAGTCTTTAGTCGGCCATCCTACTGTTATCCCATTTTTAGCCAAATAAGCTTGAGCAAAGAGCAATGTCTGTGGGACCAGCCTATTTCCAGCATGGCTTTCTCCACACACCCCACAATACTGGGGATTAGACCCAATGCTAGGCAAGTGGTCTGCCACTAATCTATATCTCCACCCCTTCTCTGCACAGATTAATACTAACACTTTTCCACTTCCCAACCTTCAACATGAAAGAAGTCAGGAAGATCTGACTCCTTTTTTCACTGACGTTACCTTTAATCAATCTCCTGCAAAGTTTCCTTCCCAACTTTTCTAATCTTTTTTTCTTTTAAATAAATACCAACATGCAATTTGTACAGTGATTATTTTATATCATAAAAATATAAGTGTCACATTAAACTTACTTGTTCTTTATTTGGAAGGAAGCACTGGTGGGAAACCCAAGCAAAGTGAGCAAGCTTTAGTTTATCTTCCCAGGAAGTCGTCTTGCTCTTAAGCTTAAGGGAAATGCCAGAATATACAGCAGCCATTGCCACCCGTTATCTATAATCAAAACAACAGAAAGTTGTATTACAACAAGAGCAAACTTAACAGGCATCAGAAAAGAAACAGCAGGGGTCTTATTGTGTACTATTAAACATTTTAACAAATTAAAACACATCAATGACAAATTTCCTAGGGGAAATTCAGACAAAAGTGTGCAGAAGACATGTTACAAATATTTCTGCTGTGAACACACGCCCAGAGGTAAGTGCAAACAAGGCAAAAACCAAACCACTGGAATGGAAAGAATCATTAACTCTTCACATAACCTCTAAAGTGTACTATGTATCACCTGTTAAGATAAATTCTGTTAAGCAGTGCAAAGAAATAAATATGCAATACAGTATTAGAAAAAGATGTTTCTCCAAGGAAAAGAGGGGGCATTAACTCATCCCAAGAGAAACACTGTTATCTCTGCTGCAACAGTAACTCCCCACTGTAAAGTCAGTACTCACAAAGAAATTTACACATCCCACACACCCCCACATACATATCTGCAGAGAAGACTACAACAGATACACCCAGTTATATAAAACTGAGGCAAGCAGCTTTGGATTTAAGTCATAAGCAAAATGTTATTTTCATCACAAAAAATGAGCAATTTAGCTCAAGAGAAAAAACTTTCTGATACACTACATACAAATAGTTATCATAAATAAAAACAAAATAGACTAACTCAAGAACGGAAAAAACATCACAGTGATTTTTATCTTTCGGTCAAACCAAAGGAGGGCTGCTGCAACTGCAGCCACCTGGCAGGGGCATCCCTCCCGGGGGCGTGGCCACCTCCAAGCCCCCAAGCTGGCCCAGAGCCACCAGGGAGGAGAGCGGGTGAGGCTCAGTTCTGGTGGGTTCTCCCTCTGGTGGGGCCCAGCCCTGAGCGAAGAAGACTAAAATGGGGGAAGGGGGCTCACCCCTTGGGGGAGATTCAACGCGGGGGTGGGGTGGGGGCGCCGGCACTCATCCCTTGGTTGGAGGCAAGGCTTATCGCTGGGCTGTGGGGATCCCGGGGATGGGGGTGGGGGTCTCATTCCAGGAAGGAGATTCATTTCTTGGGGGTGGTTCATTCCTTGGGGAGGTATGGGGGGGGGGGTCATCCCGGGGGGGGGGGGCATTCCTGGGAGGGTCCATCCCTTGGGAGTGTCATCACAGGCAGGGCTCGCCCCGTGGGCGAGGGCTCCTGGATGGATACCTCATCCCTTAGAGGCATTATGGGGGGTAGCTCATCCCTGGGGCTCATTCCTGGGGAGGTTCATCTCTTGGGCTGTTATCACAGGCCGGGGTCGCCCCGCGGGCGGGGGCTCATCGCGTGGGGGCCTCGTCCCGGGGAGGTCCATCCTTTGGGGGTCCCACCGCAGGCGGGGCTCTCTCAGCCCTGTCGCCCCCACCCGCAGGGACAGCCCCGGCCGAACACGCCGGCCGCAAGGGGCTCACCTGGCCGCTCCGCCGCTCCGCGCCCCATGCGCTGCGGGCGCTTCCGGCCGACGCTGACGCGACGCCGACAGGGCGGGGCGAGGCGGGGCGAGCTGGCGCGCAGGCATCGCCAGCCGAGCGCCGAGTGCGCCCTGGCCGCGGCGTCGGCGTCGGCGGCCCAGCCCGGCGCGCCCGCTCCGTCTGGCGGTCATGGGGCGGCCGCGCAGAGCCGCGGGCGCGGCGGGGCGCGGGGCGCGGGGCCCGGGCTAGTGGCGGCGGAGCG